TGGACATTTATTACGATTTATAAAAAAATTGACCATTACAAACTTAAATTATCCTGAGTGGGCAGGGTTGAGGGAAAGGGGAAGAGGACAGAGGTACAAATATTATAGCATCCTATAAGGTAGAAGTCTTTTCAGTAACAGAACTCATGACTTGTTCAGTGCCATCCTTGTGTCCCTGTGACTACATGTTGAAAATGTCATAGCATTTTTAAGTGTAAAAAAATTTGAAATAGTATTTTTATAACAAAGATTATTTCTTAAGATTTAAAAATGAAACTGTCACATTTTTGTCTCCCGATGGGAATGAGGGCTATGGCAAAAGCACAATGTAGGTGTCATTTTTTATGGTATCTTCTTTTGATTAACTGCCTTTCCAGTGATTGTTATAAATTGATGTTAAGTCATATTCTTTCACACTAGATTCCATTAAAACACACAACATCCATTTTCCTGTTGGGTCTCAAAGTCAGGTTAAGAATTATGTAAAAAGTGATCCTTAGCAAAGAGATGTAAACTAAAGCAATGGCTGAGCATGGGGGTCACCTTGACCAGCAGCCAACTCTGTGCTGATCAGACATGTCCTAACAAGTCACTGTGAATTCTACTGAGTCACAAGCCTGGTTCTTGTCTGAGTTTAAATTGTTTTGTTTCCTGTCCTAGAATTAGATCAGCAAATACAATATGAGAAGTGAGTTTCAGCTGGAGTTTGAGATCTAAAGGATCTTCCTTTTCTACAAACAGCAAATGGAATACTTTGCTTTGTTTCTCACACAAATAACATGGAGAGATTTTCATTATCTGTGTGTCACAAAAGTAATGAAATATTTTGTGTATTCTTTTTCATGAGCATTGTCCTTTTGATGTTGGTTTTCCTCTTTGAAACTGTTAACTACTTGGCTGTGTGTTTATTCCATCTACAGTTGACCTGGTCCTCTTTTTTGTTTTGTTTGTTGTTATTTTAAGGACACTTATGTTGTGATTCTCTAGTACAGTAGGGATAGGAAATTTTATAATTTTTGTTTCTTGCTCTTTGTTTTATTTCCTCACACCAATTACTACCCTAAAACACATGCTATCTAACAACCAGAAAAAAAAAAAAAAAACAATCTTTTATGTTTACTTTTTCCTGTAGTCATCCAACTTCCCTTGTGCTGTTCACCTTCGAGTTTGAAGCTCTGTGTATTCCTTCATGCCTTGATGAAAATTTCTCACCACAAGTAATTCTCCCATTCATGGTGGTCTGTCTTGAGACCACTTTTGTACTTCAGCAACTGGATGACTTCAGATAATTTAGCAAATATTTGCTCCAGTCTCCCGACACATAAAACAGAGGTGATAAAACTAACAACTTATCGAATGCACAGCGACTGGAGGCTGTCCAAGCACACTATGTCTGTCAGTGTAGCTGCCGGTCCTTTCACTGCACTGACTGAGCATAGGCCAGGTCTCTTCCAATGTTTTCCCTTACCTTGTCCCTTTTTACCACCCAAGCATTTAGATTTCTTGCATTTTATTTTAATATTCCTTGTCCTTTTCTGTTTATCATTTTTATTCTATTTTTAAAATATCAATTGCATATACAATGTGGGTTAAAAGTTTCATACACACAGACACACACACAAACACACACACACACACACGCACACACACACACACACACACACACACACACACACACACACACACTAAGAGATCCATCTGCATTTCTCCCAGGATTAAAGATATGTGCCACCACTGTCCAGTTATACTGCGGTACTGGAGCACATGGTGAGAATGTCAGGATTCATTGGTGTTGCCTGAGGAGAGGGAATTTGTAGCCTTCATTAACCAACTCAAAGGAGCAACCCATCCCATTCTTTCACTGCCCTGTCATTGTGCTAAACTTACAGATTACTCTATAGAATTTATTCTTTATGTAGACGATCTCATATATCAGAAAACAATTGTGTATTGTTCATCTATCTTGCCTTTTGAATTGGATCATACATTTCTCACTGGAGGTGACAGAGCCTATGTATTTTGTTTTGTTTTGTGTGCCCACTGTGAAAGAGCAATTCACAGAGTAACAGGATGTACAGGATCTATAATTTTGTGTCCAGTCTGCGGGTCTTTGTGGCAGGTATACAAGCATTTCATCTTGATCATTTTAAAAACCAACCCACAATATATAGAAATGTTATATAGATGTATGCCATAGGAAGATAATACAATACAGAAGTATTTTAAAAGTTCACCTCTTTCTGCCCTGTGTCGACAGTGCCTAACTCTTGTTTGGCAGGGCAATCACATTTGCCTATTTTCAGTATAGTATTCTAGAAAGATTTCCCTCTGTAGCTATGGGTTCGGAGATCCATGGAATATACTGAATACTGACTACTGACTAAAATATTTGAAAAAATTATGTGAGTATTTAATGTGTATTCTGTTGTTAATATCCCCCAAGTAATATTTATAAATGCTTACTTAACATTTACCATGTGCTAGATTTTAATTTCATAAGTAATCCACTGATATGAACTGTTATAGGCAAATACTTCACCCAATTAATATATAGGACTTGCAAATTGCTGACTTTTGATCTGTAGAAATTCCTTCAACCAGTTTCTTGTGAACCAAGACAATATTAATGCATTTATGGAAATGAAATAATACATAGTCATAAATATACAAATCATTTTAATGTGTAAGGAAGCCCATATCTACTCGTTTAACACCTTTTTAAATTGATTCCTTGTAAGATTGTTTCTTAATAACTTGCATTCACTTTCTTTCACTAAAATCACTATTGTAGTATATTGCACTGCAATCCTGATTAATTTCTTAGGATGGGAATTTGAATTTCTGACAGTCTTTCCATAACATGAAAAACACTAATATACACAACAGCAGGCAGTTTCAAAATTAGATTGCTTTTTTTTAAAGATTTGATGCAATTTGCATTTTCTTGATTTATAAATACTTCATCTTCTTGTCAAATCTATCTGATTATCCAATATTTTGATCTTGACTTATCTGATAGAAAAGAAATGGCACCAAACTAACATTTTAGCTCATGTTTTTAAATACCCTGTACTCAGAAATTATTATTTCATTAAAATGTTTTACACAATAGATTATTGTATCTTATCATATCAAACTTTCTAGTTTAGATAAATATGTCCAGTAATGTTTTTATAGTATTTAATGAAATTTATGATCTGACATATTGATGGGGTCTGTATGCCATTTCAATACATGCATCAAAAGTACACTGATCAATTACTCCTTCTCCTTTCACAACTTCTAGTAATGACTATCCTACATTCTGATAGACCTTTTGTTTATTTGTTTAACTTCAACATGTGAAAAAGAGCATATGGTATTGTATTTATGTATATGATTCATTTCCTTTAGCATAATGCTGTCAAATTCTACCCATATTATTAGAAGGAAAAAATATATAAATACTAAAGTTGAATAGTGTGTGTGTGTGTGTGTGTGTGTGTGTGTGTGTGTGTGTGTGTGTGTGCATGTAGGATCTTTCTCACTTGGTATAATTTCAGATGTCTATTTGTGCCTTGATTGTCTGTATTAGGTGATTTTCAAAAATTCATGGTCTATGTCAATTATCATCTTTTCCATACCTCTTTCTCTTTATAATTTGAATAGTCTTCACATAAATATCATAAAATTGTACTCAGTTTAACTCAAATATTGCTTTTCCTGGAAGGAATTTTAACTGATGTTCATTCTATTATTTGTACCACTGATTTTTGTACATTTAAAATGTCTAGCTAACTTTGATTCCTAATTTCTTAAAGCTATTTTAGTTTTGATTCCTGTTGAGTTCCAATTTTCCAGTCATATTTGATAGTGTTTTTTCCTATTCTTGTGGCTAATTCTTCCTGCTATCTAGGCATCTTACCTGGGATTTACAAAACTTATTGTATGTCATTAAGTTTACAATGTGTCCTGATTCAAACCATGTCAAATAGTGAAGTATCAGTCAGTACTTATTTTAAATATTCTTCAGTAATTATTGTTAAAAAATACCATTTAATAATTTTAATCAACTTCAATACAAATCATCTGGTTTTCATTTAACTTCATTTACCATAGTGCAAACTATTATTATTAAAGTTCTACAAATGAATTTTAAGACTTTTAAATACAGTGTGTTTTCTAAATATGTGACCTGGTATTTTCATTTTAAATTTATTTGGACCCCTACCATATGAAATGTTGCTATTTTAACTACTACTATTAAACTCTAAGTACACTGGTTTCCCAGCTGTCATTCTGGGAGTCCATTAGCTCCTCCTTGTTCAGATCAGCTGTCTCTGTTGGTTTCTATAGCCTGGTCTTGTCCTCCCTCTCTGCATCTGGATTCTAATTGAGCTCAGTGTTTAGCTGTGGGTGTCTGCTTCTGTTTTTGACTTTTGTTGCTTCTTTTTTGAGTCAAGGTTTCTCTATGTAACAGTCCTGGTCCTGGAATTCATTTTCTAGAGCAGGCTGGCCTTGAATTCACAGAGATCCACTGCTCTGACTCCCCAGTGCTGGGATCAAAGGCATGTAGCACCATACATGACTCCTAATAACTGAATTTTTCATTCATTCTAATTTGATTTCTGTACATGGTGAGAGAGGATGCTCAATTTTCATTCATAGCATGTAGATGGTAACTTTTCTTAACAATGGGTATTTCAAATTCTTTTCACCTGTGAGTTTTGTTTGTTTGATTCTGCATCTTTTTTAAAAAAATTCGGGTGTCTGTATCTGCATGAACTAATATATGTGTCCTCAAATCTTCTGCATCATTCAACATAGCTGTATTTGTGCTCAGTCCATGCTGCTTTTCCTACTTTGCTTCTATAGAAATCTGAAAACAAACTGTCAAACTTCCAGAAAATAGATTTCTTGCTACTAGCAAGTAATTCTGTCTTTGATAGAAATGATACTAACCATTCATTACTGTGATCAAATTACAAAATTCAAATGCATTTTCTTTCCATTCCCTTAAGGGAGATGCATCAACAATGCCTGGGTATGTGATGGAGATGTTGACTGTGAGGATCAGTCTGATGAAGAAGACTGTGACAGTTTCTTGTGTGCACCACCCAAGTACCCTTGTGCTAATGACACATCCGTGTGCCTGCAGCCAGAGAAACTCTGCAATGGGAGGAGGGACTGTCCGGATGGGTCAGATGAAGGCATCCTTTGTGGTATTGCTTATTTTGTCCCATTTTCTTGTATCCAGATATTAGACTCTTTTAGTTTACTCACATCTACTTATTATCATTGGACACATTTATTCCATTTATTCCTTTCAAATAAGACATTTTTGCATTGAGGCTTACATATATTTTAATCACCAAATGGTGACTATATTGTATTATCATATTATATATTATATTGTAAATATATAACATATAACATTATAAAATATAATAAATGTGATCCAGAAAGCAACAATTAAAAAAAATCCAGATTTTTTTTTCAGTTGCAGAGCTCTGCAGGTCTTACTTCTCTAGCTCTGACTACAATTCCATAGCTGAGTGAATTGATATCAGGAGTCATTAAGAACAGAAAGCCTTCTCAATGCTGACCTGTAGGGTGCAGGTCCCATCACTATGTGGATGTTGAGGAGTCTTAAAACTTTACAAAAGAAATCATATTTTTGCTTGTTACAGCAACAGGGGGGAACCAGATAATGAGACAGACTGAGTACTGCCTGACTTGCTATGTTTGTGTCTCTGATTTGAAGTCCTTGTAGAATAGGTTCTCTGAGTATAGATATCTAGTTAAAACAATCAGTGCAACAGACTTTAAAAGAACTTGCAATAGCCATCTCCCCATGTCAAAAAATGTCATGAAGGAAAATAAGCTTTCCTTCCTGAGGAGATCAGAGATGAGAATATAGGCATGTTTTCTAAAAAAAAAAAAAAAAAAAAAAAAAAAAAAAAAAAAAGCAGCCCATAGAGCTATATATGATAATGACTAGAAAAGAATGCAAATTGACTGATCCAAAGAGTAAAATGCTACACATAGCCCTGAAGTTGTGTTTATATACAATGTTGCATTGTGTGAAAACATTTGTCACTCTGTTTTAAAATATATGTAATAAAGCAATCTTTCCTTCAAAGATTCTGTAATTCTGTAAGATTATCTTTTAATAAGAAAACTAAAATATAAGCAAAATAGTCATAAAAACTAAACCCTGAAACCAAATTAATGAAAGTACTACTACTAAAAAAAAAATGGAAAACATGTTAAATATTTTTCCTTTTCTACATTCTGCTCCTTCTAATAGCATTTCATTATGGCTACTAAGAGACAAGTAGAGATGAGAAGTAGAGAGATTTATCCAAGGCAACCACAGTAGGAAGAGTAACAAAGGAGGCATCTGTCAAAAAAAATTGCTGACAACAAAGTTATGTTTAAATAGATGTTGCTGGGTAAAATCCAAGACAGATTAAGTACTCGCATCACTGGCTCAGCTCAAGTCTGTAAAGAAATTGGAAGATGTATAACATTGCTTAAAGGGATAGAGATATGTTTGCTATGTTTGCTTATGTTCTAGTAGTCAGCTTCTCAATAAGAATAACGTTTTTTTGTTTTTGTTTTTTGTTTTCTGGCTTTTCCAGCCTATATTTCTCCTCTTAACTTTGGTTCATCTAGGAATCAAAGATGGCTGTAGCTTTAAAACAATACTTATGTCTGTGCTTTCGCTTGAAAAGAAGACAAGATAGGTCTCTCTTTGTTTTGTCTTACTTCTGTAGTAATTTACATACACATATGTGTAGGTGACCCAAAATAAAACAGACAGTTTTGTCCTGAGGCAGCAGCATTGCATATGTGTATAACAACATCTGCCCTCTCAAAACACATGGCAGGAATGGATGTAGATAATGAGAACCAAGAGTACATATAAGGATCAGTGTGTCTTCTGTGCTTACACACAAGAACAAGCCCACTACTGTGGTCTTCTAGCTTTGTGAAGAGATTCTTTTCATATCAAGGTTTTGAAAATTACTTAAAATGATTTCAACTAAAACAACCTTTCTGTCTCCAGGCAGAAGTCACCTTGTCAGGAAGTCTAAGAGCAAACAGGGTGGGAGTCCTTAGAGACAGTGGGGACAAAACAATTATCCCTGTGGATATGTGTACATTTCCAAGAGAAAACTTCTGGTCTACCAGAAGAGATTAAGAAGACTATTTTCAATGGCAGAAGGTTCTTGGAGGGGCAAGGAATATTAGCTGTGAGAGGGCTCAACAGTTTTACTGCTTACAAACATAGGAGAGCTCAGACACACAACAAACTTTCTTTATATTCTGAACTGTGTCAAACCAGCATCTATAATCATTCTATGGAAATTCACTAGAGCTATAGAACAGTATTCTCTCTCTCTCTTTTTTTTTTTTCCTAGTCCCACAGGAAGCAAGTTGTGTGTTCCAGCATGGTGTGGTATGAATTGATTTCTTCTGAATTTGTATCATGGTTAAAACCTAGTTGTGTTTAGGAAGGCCCAAAGGGAGCAGACCAGATTTTGGTCAGGAAGGCAGTATTGGTGCAGTAATGAAAGATTTTAAGAGAGGTTTCAGGGTTAATAACAAAGTTAAAGTGGAAGAATTAATAATACATTGACTGTGAGAATACAGATATTTAATGTGTATACTCAGTTTTAGATTTTAATGTGAGTTTTGTTTCTCCTAAACACTATTACTTAAATCCACAGATGGCATCAGAAATTTTTAGTGCTAAAAGTTATATTTGAAATAAACTAAAAACATGGTGAAAACTTTATCCTTTTTATTTTGTTTTATTTTATTTCTGTACCTGCTGGGCACAATGATTTTTTTTTAACTGTTATTCTCTTGAAAATGAGTGTCAATTGAACTAAAATAGGGCAAATACTTCAAAACGGCTGCAGTTATCAAGTAATTATCATTAGTGGAGAACAAGAATATTTGGAAATAAATCCATTTTTCTTTTCAAAATAATACCTAACATGAAGAGAATTCTTAAAGAAAACGCTTAATGGAATTATATTTCTTTTTGTATTACCGCAACTGTTTTGATAATGATGAATAGTAGGGCAAAGAGGCAAACCATATTAAAAAAAAAACTTTAAGATGAAGGACTCTTTAATGAACATCTTGCATTTCCACCCATTTTTATTAAAAAAAAAAAAACACTAGAGACCCAAGGAGATATATTATATGTGTAAATATTACTATGCATTGTCAGTCATTACAGAATAGTTCTTTTAGCACTTGTCTGAAGAAACACAGATCATTTTTGAGAAATATATTTTAAATTTCTATTTTGCTCTATTTTTGTGGTTTGTTTGTTTTAAGATGCAGTCTCTCTATGCAGATATGGGCAGCCTCAAACTCACTGTGTAGACCAGTAAGGCTTCATACTCACAGATATCCGCCTGCTTCAGTGTATCTAGTGCAGGCCTTAGAGGCATTCACACCCAGCTCAAAACAACATTTTTTCTACAAAGTAATAGGGAGGAGGTCTTGTCCTTCCTGCTGTGTTGTTGTCCCCATAGGAACAGTAGGAAACTGTAGGGAACAGTATCTTAGTCAAGAGCATGACATTTGTAAATTTGCCCAAGTTGGCCCAAATTTTAGAAGTTGTATCCTTTATTTAAGCTTTAACTTTATTCATCAGATATCTTTGAGTGCATATTCAACATTAGGCTGAAAAACATAATTAGAAATATTCTATGTCCCTCTAGAACCTAAAATTTTGTGATCAAAAATAACAATAAATGCATACAAATACAAATGCTATAAACGCATTCCCTTTCTTTAGCAATTATGCATATATTATCCATATGGTGAATAATAGTTGCTCATTACATGTGCCAAAACACAAGTATAAATTTTTTTTGTATTATGTGTTGGACTTTCATGATCTCATTGAATTAATCATAATAACCAACATATTGGGCACAGGTAGAAAGAAAACTCATTATGCCTATAACCACATAGGAATATACATGTGTTTATTTATAAGCACTAAAAACTCCAGTAATCAATTTCTGTCTCTCTTTTAAAAGACATCTACAATTGAGGGTAATCTTTCTAGTTTTAACCTTCAGGAGCCCTTTCCCCATAGAGAAATACTCCCTTAATCTAGGCCTAGGACCTACCCCAAATGATTTGAATGACTATGATGATCCCTCATTGAGGGCCTCACCCTCCCTGGGGAGTTAATGGAGGATGGGATGGGGGCTTTGTGGAGGGCATGGGAGAGTGGGAGGTAGAGGGAACTGGGATCAATATGTAAAATAAGAAAAATGTTTTTTACAAAAGTATGGAACACAGTTTACATCACTGCATTAACTCAATGTTCTGAACACAATTTGTATCAATGAGGTAACCCATGCTATGTTACAAATATAGTAAAAATGAAAACTTGCCTTCCCAATTCTTATCAATTAGAAATAAATTCTGGCATTGCATGATTCCTAGAAGTACTTATAGCTGAATGACTGTGGGAATTGTCTTGTATTGGGTAAACGAGTCCAGTTATAGAGAATTCAATCAGTGAGTAGTATGGAGTGAGAAAAACAAAGTGACTGAGAACATCTATCCCTTGACAGATGAATGTTCACTGAACAATGGAGGCTGTAGTAACCACTGTTCTGTTGTTCCTGGAAGAGGAATTGTCTGTTCCTGCCCAGAAGGCCATCAGCTCAAAAAAGATAATAGAACCTGTGAAATCATGGACTATTGTGCCTCCCATCAAAGGTGCAGTCAAGTGTGTGAACAGCACAAGCATATGGTCAAGTGCTCCTGTTATGAAGGCTGGACATTGGGTATGGATGGGGAAACCTGCACCAGTGTGGGTGAGTAGATACTGCCATCCATAAAACAAATCCTAAACACCTTGAAATTTTTTAATAAAACGTTTCCATTTATTCTATATATAGCTTTTAAATGTTATAAGTCATTTGTAACCTATTCTAGAACCTCTGGAAAGGATGTGTTACAGCATAACTTCTTCCTATTGAAGTACTTTGATCTTAGACATCTGATCAATACTACTATTTTAACTTATAATCAATACAATTGCCTTCTTATAGCATGTTTCATAAACAACACATCACAAATTGGAAATTGTACATTCCTACAACTGGACTTCATACAATGATGAATTTTTGTTATCACTGAAATCTTATTGAGTCCCCATAACACAGGTCTGTAGCTAAAGCTGAAGTTTGTTGAGGAGAATATTGTACCTTCATTTTAATTAACTTCTAGAAGAGAGAAATAATCTCTTTCAAGTTTTAAATGTAGATTTCAGACCACAGAAGCTAAAACCTACCAGGATTATTTGTATACAACACAAATGATAGACATAGGTGATAGAGAGAGAGAGAGAGAGAGAGAGAGAGAGAGAGAGAGAGAGAGAGGGAGGGAGGGAGGAAGGGAGGGAGAGAGAGATGATACATTGAGGGATGGATGGATGAATAGGTAGACAGGTGATAGGTAGATAGTTACTAAGACTGTCTCAGCTGCTGGTACCTGTTGGGCTTTAAACATAAAATATCTTCTTTCTTCCCCTTCCTTCACTCCTTTCATTCTCTCCTTGACTTTGAAAAATGATTTATACTGAATTATAATATACATGATTACTCATCTTAAAATATAAACATGGAAAAAGAAAAGAGATATTTTTTCTAAGGCATCTAATCAATAAAACTTTGGGAAATATTTCAAGTATTTACAAGATGAGAAGAAACCAAAATAGGAATGAAAATACCTTATTAAATAAATTTTAATTCATGATATCTGACACCAATAATATACAGAAATACGGCTTTTTAAAAAAGTTTTTCAAGGCAGGGTTTCTTTATGTAACATTAAATGTACGAAACTAGCTCTGTATAGGGACCTTGAACTAACAGAGATTCACCTGCCTTTGTTTCCTCCTCCTCCTGAGTACTGGATTTAAATGCATGCACTATTGCTCAACTCCACTGCTATATCATATCTCAATTCATCTTTCTGTTTAATAATAATTTATTATTATTTTTTTACATCCGGACCAAAATTCCCCTCCCTCCTCTCCTCTAACCTCTCTACCTATCTTCTCCTTTCCCGTTCCCAACTCCTCCATTTCTATCTAGAAAATGGCAGGCCTCCCATGGCTATCAACCAAACCTGGCATATGAAGTTGCAGTAAAATAAGTTCTTCTATTGTACAGGATTGTTTTGGCCATCCTGGGTCTTTTATTTTTTTCCATATAAAACTGAGTATTTTCCTTCAAGGATATGAAGAATTGTGCTTGCATTTTGATGGGGCTTGCTCTGAATCTGTGGATTGCTTTTGGCAAGATTGCCATTCTTGCTCTGTTGATCCTACCTATCCAAAAGCATGGGAGATCTTTCCATTTTCTGGTATCTTCTTTAAATTTCTTTCTTTAAACACTCCATGTTCTTATTATATGGGTCTTTCACTTGTTTGTTTAGCATTATGCCAAGATATTTTATTTTCTTTGTGACTGTTGTAAAGATTAAATCTCTGATTTCTTTCTCAGCCCCTTTATTGCTATATATAGTGGGACTACTGATTTCTGCCACTTTGTTGAAGGCATTTACCAACTGTAGGAGGTCTCTGGTAGAGTTTTTCAGGTCACTAATGTAAAGTGTCATACAATCTGCAAATAGTGAAAATTTGACTTCTTCCTTTCCAATTTGTATCCAGCTTGATCTCCTATTGGTTTCTTTCTCTAGCTAGAAATTCATGTACAATATTGAAGAGGTATGGAGAGTGTACAGCCTTGTCTTGTTCCTGATTTTAGAGGAATCACATTGTGTTCTCTCCTTTTAGTTTGAAGTTGGCTGTTGGTTTGCTTTATATGTGTAGGTATGTTCCTGATATACCTGATCTCTCCAAATCCTTTAACATGAAAGGGTGTTGGATTTTTGTAAAAGTCATTTCAGCATCTACTGAGATGATTATATGTTTTTTTTTCAATCTGTTTATATGGTGGACTTCATTGATGGATGAAACCTACTTAGTCAAGGTGGATGCTTTCTCTGGTGTGTTTGTTCTTGGATTCAATTTACCAGTATTAGATTGAGTATGTTTGCACCAAAGTTCATGATAGATATTGGTCTGTATTTCTCTTTCTTAGTTGTGTCTTTGGGTGACTTGGGTAGCAAGGTAAGTGTAGCCTTGTTAAAAGAGTTTTTCTGTGACCCTTCTGCTTCTATTTTTTGGGAACACATTGAAGAGTATTAACTGTCTTTGAATTTCTGGTAGAATTCTTCACTGAAGCCATTTGTTCCTGGGCTTTTTCTTCCTTCCTTCCTTCCTTCCTTCCTTCCTTCCTTCCTTCCTTCCTTCCTTCCTCTCTTTCTTTCTTTCTTTCTTTTTGGTTGGGAGAATTTGATGATGCTTCTAATTCATTAGGGAGTATAGGTCTATTTAGATTGCTTTTTTTTTCTTAATTTAATTTTGGTAACTTATATTTATCCAGAAAAATGTCCATTTGCATTAAATTTTCAAATGTTGTGGAGTACAGGCTTTCAAAATTTGACCAGAAGATTCTCTGGCTTTCCTCAGTGTCCACTGTTTTGTTCCTCTTTACATTTCTGATTTCGTTAAATTGTATGTTCTCTCTCTCTGCTCTTTGGATAGTTTAGATAATGGTTTGTCTCTCTTGTTGATTTTCTTGAAGCACCAACTCTTTGTTACATTTATTTCTTTGTATTGTTTTCCTAGTGTCTACTTTTTTTTTATTTCAGCACTCAATTTGATTATTTCCTGTCATCTACTCCTCCAAGGTGAGTTTACTTGTTTTTGTTTTATTAGAGTTTTCAGTTGTGCTGTTAATTCTCTAATGTGACAATGCTCCAGTTTCTTCATGTGGGCACTTAGTGCCTCTTACCACTGCTTTCATAGTGTCCCATAAGTAGGGGTATGTTGTATGTTCATTCTCATTGAATTCTAGGAAGTCTTAAATTTCTTTGTTTGTTTCTTCCTTGACCCAGGAATGGTGCAATTGAACTTTGTTTGATTTCCATAAATTTGTAGGGTTTCTGTGTTGTTGTTGAATTCTAACTTTAAAGCATGGTGGTCTGATAAGGTACATGGGGTTATTCCCATTTTTTTGTATGAAATGATGTTTGCTATTTGCATGTATGTGGTCAATTTTAGAGAAGGTTTCATGTGTCACTGAGAAGAAGGTTTATTGTTTTGTGTTTGTATGGAACGTTCTTTAGATGTGTATTAAACCCAATTGTTTCATAACTTTTGTTAGTTCCTTTCTTTCTTAAGTTTCTGTTTGGTGGACCTGTCTAGTGTTCGGAGTGAGGTGTAGAAATCTCCCTCTATGAGTTTGTGAAGATTTATGTGCAATTTAAGTTTTAGTAATGTTTCTTTTACAATGTGAGCACTTTTCTATTTTGGGCACAGATGTTCAGAATTGATACTTCATTTTGCTGGTTCTCCTATGATGAATAAGAAATGACATTCTTCATCTCTTTTGATTGATTTTAGTTTTAAGTATAATTTGTTAGATATTAGGATTACTACACCTTTTGGGGGGGGTCCATATGATTGGAAAAACTTTTCCCAACCCTTAACTCTGAAGTAAAATTTCTCTTTGAAACTGAGGTGTGTTCCTTGTTTGAGGAAGAAGGCTGGATTCTGTCTTTGTATCCATTCTGTTAGACTGTGTCTTTTTATTAGCAATTTCAGGCCATTATTATTGAAGTATATTAGTGACCATTGATTGTTAATTCTTGTTTGTTTTGGGTTTGGTGGTGGTGTGGATCCCCCCTCCATTTTTCTTTTGGCTGTGAGATTATCTATTGCCTATATTTTTGTGGGTGTAGTTAACTTCCTTGGGTTGGAGATTTCTTTCTAGTACTTTCTGTAGGGTTGGATAAGTTGATGAGTATTGTTTAAATCTGATTTTGCTGTGAAATATCTTGGTTTCTCCATCTATAGTGATTGAAAGCTTTTCTGGATATAGTAGTCTGGGCTGGCATCTGTTATCTCTTAGTGTTGGTAGAATATCTATCCAGAACCTTCTGGCTCTCAGAGTTTCCATGGAGAAGTCAGGTGTACTTCTTATAGGTTTTCCTTTATATGTTACTTCACATTTTCCCCTTGCTGCCCTTAATATTCCTTCTTTATTCTGAATGTTTGGTGTTTTGATTATTATGTGTCAAGGGAACTTTTTTTGTGGTCCACTTTATTTGGTGTTCTGTAAGCTTCTTGTACTTTCTTTAGGTTGGGAAATTTTTCTTATATTATTTTGTTGAATATATTTTCTACACCTCTGAGTTGGATTTCTTTACCTTCTTCTGTACCTATTATTCTTTTCACAGTGTCCAATATTTCCTGGATGTTTTGTGTTATGCATTTGTTGGACTGAAGAATTTCTTTGGTCAATGAATCTATTTCTCCTAGTTCTCCTAGTGTATCTTCAACATCTAATATTCTCTCTTCCATCTCTTGTATTCTTTTGGTTATTCTTGCAGCTGTAGTTCCTGGTTGCTTGCCATGCCTTTTTATTTCCAGTATTGCCTCAGACTGTCTGTGTTTGTGTTTGTGTGTGTGTGTGTGTGTGTGTGTGTGTGTGTGTGTGTGTGTGTGTGAATGAGTGTTTTGTTTTAGTTTGGTTTTTATTGTTGTTTTTTCTCTCTATTTCAGCTTTCAACCCTTGCACTGCTTGAATTCTGTTTGAATTGTTTCTTGCAATTTTTAGTTTGTTATTTTCTTCCATTTCTTCAAAGGATTTTCTCATTTCCTCTTTTAGGGTGTCTGTCATCTTCATCAGGTAGTTTTTTAAGGTTGTTCTCTTATGCTTCATCTGTATTGGCATGATCA